GCGCTGCATGGTGAAATACCCAGCTGGCTGTTTATCATGGAAGAGTAATCAACCATTAATTGTGCGAGGCTTTTTTTTCCCCTACAATTGTTTTTCAACGAAAAAGTTTTTGTCCTCACATTCGGATGCTGTTTGAAAGCTTTGTGGAACTAGTATCACAAACTAGGTACCGGCCTGATAAATGAATGATAAGGATATCCTGGCCTTCTCCCATTAGAAGGCATAGCCAAAAGAAATTCCATATCTCGAGGGATAAGCATTGGATCTACAGATAGCTATCTCATTCAATCTCAATCTGATTGGCCAGAGTAGTAGATTGAATTCGAGCACTTACCTTAATTGAAAAACTTGTGTAGACTTTCTTTTTTCTCCGTACATAGGCTTGCAGAAGAAGAAAAGTCTATGACGTTCAGGTACAGTTCTCAGGTTGTGGCTTGGTCTCGTGCTGAATTCTTACCCCTGGAATGTTCCGCGGCGCATCTGATCAGATCAGATCATGAAGTGGCCGTGATTCAAACTCTTGACACTTATTAAAACTGTCTGATCAGCACAAACCGAACCGAATTGTATATAAACGGCGCTTATCGTTGCCGACTACCCACGATATCTAACTACAGTGAGTTGAGTATGAGGGTTTAATTGTAGTCTTTTTTTTTTTAAATCAAGCTCTATTGTTTCTAGGTACAAAGAATCGCATAAAGTATAAACTATGGCGTAAAGACCTATCCCCGACCGGCTGTTTTTTTCCGCCTATAAAAGAAAAAGGAAAAAAGGAAAAAGAAGACCTTACAAAGACAAAAGAAAAATATAAAATGGGGAAAAAATCCTTAATGGGGCCTCCGAGAACCTAGTCTCCTGGAGGTAGTGGTGGGGTGGCGCGGCGTTTTTATGAGATTTCCATCGCGGTCTGGGGGTTGGGGGGGGACGGGGGAGTGGTGGGTTTCCTGCTGGGGCAGGCTGGGGCGAAGGAGCGGTGGGTCCCGTTGCAGTTGACGCACTTGGCGGGAGAGATTTCGCAGCAGTTTTCAAGAGGCGCCGATGCTCCTTTGCACGTGGCAACTGGGCAGCGGTGGTCTTGGAGCTTGTGGGGGGGGTTTAATTGTAGTCAAGTACTGAGCACATACATACGCAGCTCGAGGGACATATATAGAGTATCCCCTCACATTACCCATCTGCCTTTTGCCAAAACCGGAACTCGGAGCTGAGTTTTTCCTTTTTTCCCCCATTCCCCAGTTTTTCCCACCGGCCGGCCCCAACCTCCCTTCGGGTCCATGCATCATTTAGCCCCCTGTCCAATAATGATCCGCCATAAACTAACCTCAATAATCTTTGAGCTCCACCACCTGCGCAAACGTTTGCACCGAGATATCTTTCGCCAGAAAGCTTGGTTTGAACTTCATGCAGGGGTGCTTCTAGAAGGATTGCATAGTTGAACTGAATATCTTTCTCTTGCTATAGAAAATTAGCAAAGCTGGTAAGTGGGTTCTCGATTCCCGGGGTATCATCATCCCGAAGTTGCGCTTCGGCTGGTAAATCTGATATTTATCCAACCCATACAAGGCCTCGAGCCTCGCTACCCTTCCCCGCAAAGTACATACCTACCGCTCAAATGGAATCCGGGGGCGGGGAGTACTCTAGATTAATTGGTGATACTGACTAGCTGGGTACTGCTGCTATCATCAGATGAGGACGGAGACTCGTTAGAAGGAGTTAGGGGATGAGAGATGGCCAAGGGATCTTTGCTTTAAATTCGGGCCTTGACTCCTTTTTGTTGTGATTTTGCTGTTCGTCACCTCAAGTCTCCTTTGCTACTTCTGGCTTCTTATTTTCAATCGAAAGAATGAAGTTTACTCTCGGTGTCGGCGCCTGTTTGGTCGCACTCGCAGCGGCTTCTCCTACCACGAGGAGTTCGAAAAAGTCACCATTATCGCTTGTGATACATAACGATGGAACGAATGGTACCTTTTCGTCCACTATTGCGAGTGACAAGATCTCTATGCATGTTGGTCAGCAATATGGTATGTGAATTGGTCTAATCGAGAGCTCGAGGGAAAGAAAGTTGGGACACTAACGGGATGATATTCAGGTACAAAGTTGATGTATAAGGGCGAGGACCTGGTAAAGAATGCCACAGGAGCTTATGCAAGTTATGGTAATACGTTACCCCCTGTAAATATAAGCTTTGATAGTTTGGCTAACAATCTTCCAGCCGGCCGCTACTTTGACCTGAACTATACGTCCGCCGCAATCTACTCCGAGACCCAGGACATGCTTGACATTGGTTTCACTGCCAAAGAAGGTGTTGTCCACTTCGTTCTAAAAACCGGTCTTGATGGCTTCTACTCCTACTTCGTCAATAAAGCTCTCGGCGTACAAGGGGAGTTCAGAACCCTCTACCGTCTCGACCCCGGGCTGTTTCCAAGTGGCCGGACGTATCTCAAGGATGAGCCATTGCCTCTATTTTCAGATATCTTGAACGGAACTAAAGTTCAAGACGAAACCTGGCAGCGTCCCGATGGCACCTATATCACTAAATATGACTGGTCGCTTTTCATGCGTGAGAGCGACTTTTACGGCGTGTATGGGGATAAGTTTGGTTGCTGGCTTATAAACCCTGGGAAAGACTACTATAATGGTGATCAATTGAAGCAGGAATTGAGCTTGCATAGAGAGAGTCAGACGAATGATACTGTGTTACTTAATATGCTCCACGGGACTCATTTTCAGGCATCTTTCAGTAATGTAATTCCAGACGGGAAGGTTTTCGGGCCTTGGCTTGTGTAAGTCATCAGCGCACCTCTATCTATATACATTGCATATGACAACTTACTGACATAATTCTAAGCTATCTCAACGACGGCTCGGTCAAGGACGCCGTGAAGCGAAACAAAGCTGAAGAAAAAGCATGGCCCTATGAGTGGTTCACTGACTCCCTCTACCAATCACGTGGCTCTATCTCTGGAAAGCTCATGCTCGACACCGGGAAGCCCGCTGCCGGTGCTGCCATCTTTCTTGGTGAGCCAGGAAGAACTATCGCGCAGGGTACTACCTTCCAATATACCACCTACGCAGACAGTAAAGGTAACTTCAAGATCGAGGATGTACGCACTGAACAACCGTGGACGATTCAAGCCTGGTCAAACGGCGGTGAAATTGGAGGCGTGACTACTGTTTTCCAGGCAGGAAATTACACACTCACGAAGGGGAAGAATCTTGATGTCGGAAAGTTGACATGGAAGACTCAGGGGAGAACAGATATATGGCAGATCGGAGATTATGACAGGAAGAGTCTTGGTTTCGCATACGGAGGTGCTCCGTATAGTCATGGTCTTGTCGATAACTGTCCAGCGAATCTTATGTACACCGTCGGCACCAACTCGGCCAAAGATTGGTGCTTTGGAAAGAGTTCGAAGGGAACCTGGTCTGTTGTCTTTGATATTGAATCTCTTCCGAGTGGTAACTCGTCTGCTGTACTTTCGCTTTCTGTCGCGGGATTCTCGGGGTCTGGGACTGCTATTGGTGGTTCAGGGTCTGCGCTTGAGATTGTTTTGAACGGAAATGCATTGAGTAACCATGCCACACCCATTGAGAGTGATCCATCGCTCTATAGATCTGGAACTACAGCGGGAGAGTGGCATTACTACGAGTTTGTTGTGCCAAAGTCGTGGTTAGTGGCTGGGACGAACAAGTTGGATTTGACTACAAACAAGACAGCCACTAGGTGGAGGGGTATTATGTGGGATATGGTGAAGATGGAGTGGAGTTAGGGCTGCTCTATAAATGTTTAATGTGTATAAATAAATATTAAATATGTATGTATGTATGTATGGATGGATGGATGGATGTACAGATATTAAAGAAGCCAGAATATTTACTATACTTCGAATTTCAGTGATCAACTATGATGGGTATTAGATGCGACCTCCCCCCGTATCCTTCTTCCGGAACACGACGGGCGATCTCATGTTGAAAGTTATATACATAGTATACGTACGTAAAAGTAGGCTGCTTACAGGATTTGGGGACATCCACTTCTCATCAAATGCTAATTCATACTACAGCTTTAGAACTTTGATCTTATCATCCAAGGTTGTATGGATTCATGGTTTCCAGAGTTCATGTGGCAAATTGGTTGGTAAATCACAGTTCATCACTCGAAATCTTGGACATCAACACTTGATGTTTGATTTTTGTTTTTACCAACTCTTGATGCTAGCTTGATTGATCCATAAATTTTATCATTTAAAATGCAATTAGCAAAGTGTTAGAGCTCAAATTAATCAGCAGCTACTTGTAATATATTATAAGTAAACTTTTATATGCTATCAAGTCTCGAATTTGAATGTCTGAGCTAGGGTCAATTAAGCCAGTCGACTCCTGTCTTCCCTCAGCCCCATCGGTCAAGAGTGTCCGTGCAACGCGTGATCGATCAATTCTGTATAAATTTCCATTGTTTGGGATAAGCATGCTGAGCGCTTGCTAATCCACTTTGGAACCAAAATCAAGGAAAACGACGAAAACCAGTTAGTTAAGAATGGCTAGCCTCAGGGTAAAACTATGCAGATAAAACTTTTCCTAGGACGTAAGCTTATACTTTTTATGTAGATATGTATATATATCAGCATAAAGAACTTCCGGATATGATTTCGCACTTGGTTTATAAGCTGTACTAGTTTATCCCCTCCAGTAATATCCTTGATTGTGGGTTTTTATCAATTGCTTCTTCGACACGATTCGATTTACTCTAAATAAGAACACTTCTTGCATTGTTACTCGGTCTTAAAGCTTCAGAATGATAAAGTGCTTTCTCATAGAATATCACTCGATGGTTTCACTATGTGAGCATACTGATATTTTACTTGAGATATTATCCAATGAGAACTAGGCTTTCGAGATTTTAACCAACATTTTGTTTGAATTTCTGCCTTTGATAAAGATAACTTATGGTTTCCTGATAAACCCAAAGAAATACAATATAACCTAAATAATAGATATCCATCTTAATCCTCCAGCTCCTCAGGAGTATCACCGGAGGCGGCAGTAGTAACTATAATACACTTCCCGGCCAACTCCCTTGCTTTCTGCTCACACATCGCTGCTGTAAATTTCTTTACAGCACCTCCTCCTGCCAGCTCTGCTATCTTGGCACTTACCCTTTCCCACCTATTCTCATCCACTTCTGCCATCGCCTGCATCAAGAAATCAACTTCATTCTCCTCCCACGCAGCCAACTTTGCTGTTAGTCGCGAATAGCGTTTCGCCAATGACCCTTTAGCCACTTTTCCTCTCCCCTCCATCTCAAAGATTTCAGAGATCTCTTGCCAAGGTCTTCCCTCCTCTTTGAGCTGAACAAGACGGTAATCATCTCCTGAATTCGAAGCCGGTGCTGCACCCGACGCTTTAGTTTTGGGCTTTGGGGCTGCCGTGCGTTTGGCTGGGGAGGCCTTGGCCGGGGTGCCAGAGGCGAATCGCTTACGAGATTTGCGGGGTGTCTTTTGAGGGGTAGGAAGAGTAATAGGGCTAGGAGGAGTTGTGGTAGTCATGGGAGACGGAGGAGTAGCAATGGGAGACGGAGTAGTAGCAGCGGGGGGCGGAGGATGAGTAGTAGATGGAGGAACGTTTTCATTTTGGCTGGGCATGGGTTCGTCTCCACTCTGGGGGGAGTGCTAAGAACATTTGTCAGTACCTACACTACTGGTGGAGGTTTAATTGCTGGGCCGGGTATAATATTTACTTACTTCAGCAAACGAATTGGTGCTGTGTTCGGACATCGTGTTTTTCTTTGGCGAATTGCGAGTTTTTGACTTGCGAATATGTGCTTGGTCTTGTCTGAAGGTCTTCTCTGAGGAATGACTTGAGCAGGACAACTCGGTCCAATATATACCAAAAAGTCACGATATATCTTCTATCTTCCCCTCCTTTGAGCCCGTATACCATGTCTCCTATGCGGTGCGGGGTCTTCGAGTCCGTGCATCTGCTCGGACCACCCTGTTCTATGTGTTACTCTTCCAGGTTTGTATGCTTGGCCAATTGTGCTGATCGGTTTGCAATTTGTTGGTTGAGTTCGTGTGAGTTCAGGAATGACGTATATATCTAGCTTCAAAGGTATTGTCAAAAGAGACCCAATGACAAAATGTCACTCGTCAAGTCACTGCTAGTACTCTATACTTTTTTTACCCAAGTTTACAAACCTTCCGTAGACTTCTATGTGTGGATAAAAGCATTTGATTGAGAAATGGCATCAAGAACACCTCTGAAAATTATGTTTGTATATTTGCCCAATATTATTATCATTCGACATGCTTTAGCCCAATTTAGTTATCCTCAGGCGACAGATCACCAAGACTACCAACTTGTGCGTAAACGCGGCGGCCGCGGAAATCTGCATGTAGTGGTGGCTTTCAGATGCAGGGACCAATCGGTACCCTCAATTGGGGAAATTACCTTTTGCAATTGGTATAGTCAACGCTTTCGGGAGTAGAGATATACAGGGGAGTGAAGAAGAAAAGAAAAGAAAATAAACCTATTTGGCTATTCAGATGGTGAATGATAGCAATAACATAATATTACATGCGATTAGGCTAACCAAATAACAAAATAGGCTAGATCAGTTGTACTAATATGATGAAAAGAATCATTTCCGTCTCCCCGAATATCAAGACATTGAAACATCTGCGGGAGCAGCGGGTTCCTCTGAAACTACAGCAACTTCTTCAGCCGCTCCCTTTTTTTTGATCTCCATGGCTTTTGCCTTGAACTTCTTCTCACATGCTGCCCCCTGAAACTTTCTACTAGCACCTAGCCCCACCATCCTCTCCGCCACCTTATCCCACTTTGTCCGCTCGAACTCTTTTTCGGCCTCAAAGATCGCTTGATGCAAGAAATCAATCTACTCCCCCCACTCCCACACAACCAGAAGTAAGCAAACCCAGTGCCCGTCAAAATATTGTAGGAAAAGTGGTATTGCATTATCGCGAGGGGGGAGTAGTGGACTTGCATCGTCATCCTCCCAGAACACTGTTCCTTCTTTGAGACTCCTATATCGATTTTTGAGGAGTGTTTGCTTTCGACCGGCCCAGCCGTGCTCGCGGAAGGCTTCAACGATATCAGGCCACTTCATGTTTTTTTCATCCTTGAGACTAAGAAGAAGAATGTTTTCTTCTGCGACGTTTGGCTTCTTTAGTGGGGCAGCGGTCAGCTTGGCTTTTTTGGTAGGTGTTCCGCCGTCGTCCGAGGTCTCATCATCGTCAGTTGACAGGTGGCACCGTTTGAAACCCTCCGGCAACGGCTCATTAGAAGGACTAGGGGACGACAAGGGGGACGACGTTGGGGGGCTAGAACTGAAGCTCAGCCCTGGGGGCGGGCCGAAGTCAGTTGCGGAAGATTGCGGCAGGTTCTTTGATAAAGTGCCGTGATTTTGTTAGTTAACTCACTCAGATAGGGAGGAAGTGAAGCGGGAGAACTACTATCTTTTCGACCTCTTCCTTTTGACTAGTCCCTTTAGTCGGAGATGTAGGAGCCGTAAAGATAGGAAGTTCGGGATCAGAAATCTCTGGCTCAGGAATCTCAGGTTCAGAAATCTTAGGATCAAGATTCTTATTCTCAGGCTCAGGCTCAGGCTCAGGCTCAGCATTTGGTTTAGAGTTACTTGACCGGTGGGTCTTTTTCCCCTTCGTCGTTGCTGCAGGTGTTTTTTTGGGCTGTTTCTTCCGCACCATTGTAATCAATTTGAAATATGTAAATGATGAACGTTAACTCAAACCCTGTAACGCATCCGGAGAAGAAGTTACTTTGAGAGGTAGTTATATGGATAACAAATGTTAAATATTCCCCATCAAGAACTCTTTTGTTAGAGCTCTGTGTGCACAGACCACGAATCACTCGAATAGCAAATCAAATGAGGAGAGAATGACATCGTCCAACATATCGTGATCAGGGCTAGGAGGTTTAGCTTTTCTCGTCCATAGTAGAGATCGCAACTAGAGATCACAACCAGCTCTGTGCATTACAATTCAGTTTGAGTGAGTGATCATGAGCGTGACAAACCTCCAGTGATGTTGGCTTGGTTAGTACATATTAACATGACCTTTTTAGGTAGTAATGCAGGCTGGAAAAATCTAGTTTTGTCTGTGTTCCAGGACAATCAAACCCAGATCCAACAATTGCAAAGCTACCTACTTATGCGCGAGGAAAAAACAAAAAAAGAAGAGCGTCCAACATATGATAAGCAGCATGTTAGCAAGCAAATATCTGGGTTGAGATCGTTTTCTGTTCGCATCGACAATAACCATGTCATAATGCTCTGTGCGCGAAGCTCAATATCAAGCTTGCAAGGAGGGTAGGATAAACGTTCTCATTTCTATCATAGTTAGCAAACCACGAGGAACTGTGGCGATAGTAATATCTGCCGATAACTACAACCGAGATCATTTCCACTTGGACGGGACTTTTAGGAAGCGAATCGCAAAAAGCAAAGAAAAAAGTAGGCATCCATACATAGATACCGTATTTTGCTTATTTCACTCCGACAAAAAATGAACTTAGTCAACTAGGCACGTGACGGGACCCGTGTTCAAAAGAAAAGGTGTTCACATTATCATTTACACCGTTCCTACTTTAGAAAGTTCTGGTATGGCGCAGGTGCCAGGCAACCTATCTTAATTAAGTTATAGATCATCGCATAGAAAAACAAATAATCTCTTACAGTCCTTAAAATGTTAAGTTTTTAGCACCTGGGTACATGTATGTATGTTCCAATCAACTACCCCCCTATTCCCCTATGCCAATGATCATGACGTATCCAAACCAGGTTCATACACCTCTCAGCCTGTAATCACCCCAACTTACCCCAAAGTCACTCGCTAATCGTGCAGATTTGGTTTCGTTTACTTGACAGATCCACCAATATCACCCCGTGTTATTACTCGGGTCCCAGATGAGATAGTGCCAAGCCAATACTGGAATGCACAGTACTTACTCTGGATCTCGGGATTAGGGGTATTAGAAGAATCTGGGGCCGAGAAAGGTACGAATATACCGTAAGGGCTGTAAGAGATGACGATTCTCTTACCTGGGTCAACAAATTCGTTTTGGCACATGAAGTTCCGGGGTTCAAAGTGAGGCTCAACGAAGGGATCCTAATTAAGGGTGTAGATCATCATGTAAGACCACTGATTTTCAGTGTAAAATTCATATGCATCATTGACATAGAAATAAACACCCCAAGACCTTCCAAAAAAAAGAAAGAACGTAGGAAAGAAAGAAAAAACAGAAAAAAAAACATAGCCCATGTAAAAAACAAAAGACGGAAAAGAGAAAAAGGAAAAAGGACCCCGAAATGAGTGAGAAACTCCGCCAAGAAAACAACCAAGCAACAAAAAGACCAATAAACACCGTTTTTTCTACTGGAATTGCACATTCAATAAATTCTGCCAAAAATTGTCCCCCATCCCATTCATCATCTGCTGCTCTTCCACCGCACAACCACTCCCAGGCTCCCCAAAACCGTAAATGTATTGTCCATGACTGTGGTGGTGGTGCTGATCCATAACCACATGATGGGTTGCTGCGGCGGTGTCCCCCATGTTACCGGAGGATATTTCAGGCATTGAGAAGAACTCCTCCAGATCCATTGACATCAGATCCCGGTGTGGCACAACGGCGTTGGTATACGAGGCCCAATCAAAGTCACTCATCTGCTCTGGTCTCTGCATTTCTGGATTGCCGTGCATGTTCTCTCGCAATTGTAATTGCGACGATAACATAGTTGGTGAATGTGACAATGAACCTGGGAACGAAACTGATGGCTCTGGCGATTCATGAGATTGACCACAAGCGTATGGAGAAGCTCCTGATGATATCGAGACACCAGAATCAGATTCTGTTGTTGACGAAATCCTTGCTCGATTTGGGAAGCTGTCTATTCGGTGTACGCTAGAAATTGCGGCTTCCACTTTCGAAATAAGCACTTTCAACACGGCAGCACCTTTCTCCGCTAATTTGATTCTCTGACCGAGCATTTCTAGTCTTCTTTGGCCTTCTCGCAGGGCTTTAAGACAAGCCTCAATCATCTCGGGATCAAGGGATGCTGGCGAGGTTATTATTACCGCTGCAATGAGAACTGCTGGATCAAACGTAAAGAAACAAAGAGTGTAAATAGTGTGATGGTGTTCTTTTGTCATCTGGAGTACTCTGGTTTGTGAATCAAGAATGACCAATGAAGCCTTGACAAGCTCCATCTTCGAACGGTCTCTTGTGAAAACAAAAGGCCGATGAAGCCCTACTATTAGGCAGAAAGCTGAAGCTTTGAGAAGCTCGCACTGGGCTGAAAGGAATGGGTATTGTTGATCGTATGAATTATCTCTATTCCGGATCGCAAGTGCTGGTGGAAAGAATTCTGTGAAGGAAAGGATCTTTGAGTGCATCAGATCGACGGAAGAGAAGTCCAGTGAAAGTGGCTTATCGACTTTGACCTCCATATCATCGATTTCGTTTATGATATGGGCTAGTTGGTAATCTAACAGGCGCTCTGTGAAAGGGTTTGGAGGATCCAGAGGCCCACGAGGAACAGGAGGCACTTTTGTGAGATCTTGAGGGATTGGGCAATCAATTGGCGGCGTTACATTGCAATGCCGATCATTGATCATTGTAGGGCGTCCAAGAATCATAGACATGAATCTAAACAGTTAGAAAAAGTAAACAATACAAAACAGAACCCAACTCTTACCGATCCCAGACATAAAGATTGACCCAGACCCGTTTCTCAATCTCTTGCTCCCACACACTCGCTATACTTTCAGCGTACTTTTTAGGCCGCTCCCGATGTAATCCCATTTCTTGAGCCTCCCGGATAGCCTGTCCAAGTGCATGCCATGACTCAACAGCTCTCCCCTCACTCTTCAACCATGAGCTTCTCAGAAACCATTGTTGAACACGAACAAGGGTAGGACTGCTTGCTGATAACAGACTTGCAAGCTCGCATGCAGTGTTGCTGTAGGTCATACTAAGATTGTAGAAGTTCTCTTTGCCAAGGTTAAGCTGTGCCATAAACTTGTAATGTTCCATAGGAAGCATTTGCAAAGCAACAGCTAGCACTTGCAGTAGCAACGCAGGGAACTGTGAGAGTATCTTCTTCTTCCCATTATTGCCCGGTGTATTGTTCGACGCGCATTGGTCATACCACTCCTCCATATGTGTGAGGAAAGTTTGTTCATGTAGGGAGCCATAAATCCAGTTACACTCCTGAAAGAACACCTTTACAAGAAGTGAGGTGTAAGGCCTAGGTGGTATTTGTCGAATGTGCTTTGTGTACGGATATAACTCCATACTATCGGATATATCAACAACCTGGTGGTTTGACCTAACCCAATTATTGACATTTCCATGACCATCGAGATCGAGCTAGGCCAAATTAGTACCATTAACTAAGACTAGAGTTGTTGAAATGCTTGTAGCTACCATACCTTTTCTAGTACGTTCAATGCCGTATGTGTATGCCCGTTCGACCTAATGTACCCAAACCCCCCCGGTACATCCTTTGCGCCCAATATCATATCACCCGGAGACCCTGGAGACTCTCCCTTGGGGCTTCTAGAAACCGGGGAAACCGAAGAAGATCTGCTATTATGGTTCGGGCCTGATTTGCTTTCGTATTGGCACAAGTGCGATGCAGATCTGAGTGTGCAGTTTCCACATGGGTGCTGTCTATCGCACTATTATACTGCAGTCAGTAACCCGATCATGTTCATAAACAAGATATAAGAGGCAATGGGGCAAACCTTTTGCTTTCTACGATGACATTCGGTGCATGATATAACAGTCCTGGCTCTTTTTCGCTTTCTCTGTGGGGTCAAATCTGTACTAGGCATCTTGAGAAGTAAGTTGTATTTCGGCGGTATATATCGGTGTCTTTTTGAAATGCTGAAATCTTCTGGAGGTTTTCGAAGTTAAGAAATACTCGCTCCTGACAGGAGGCTCGGCACTAGTGAAACAAGAGATTTGATGTTACTCGGTTCGTCTTCCTGCAGTGCACCTTTAAAAAAACAAATAAAGGTAGCGTGAGAATTAAAGTCTCAGGGCCCAACGTTTTTCTCGGGGTCGTTCCGGCCGTGTGCCCCACAAACGAGGTGGAAAGCCTTGCGTCAGACGAATAAGGGGAGGAAGAACAAAAAAAGATCCACACGCCAGGTGCGATGATGTAAAACGACTGAAATGGTCCTAAGTGTAGCCGGACTATGGTGTACCGTGGGCGTATCGGAGTTAAGGAATGAATGAGAGCCGTTAAGACCCCAGGCGAAGCTCGTTGGACCGCAGTAGGAATAGTAAAAGTAGAATAGATCGATAGTAACTACCCGAGTTTATTCGTCCCTCTTTCTTCGTCTTCACTCTTTCTTATTCTGTGATTTGTGGATTGATAATATGGGAACTATGAAAAGAAACTCGACAGTTGTGACATCGAAATATAGGCAATTTCGATTCGATAGTAGTAAAGAAGATGAGCTAAAGAAGAGAACTGAAAGAAGGGTTCACTTCGAGGAGGATTATAGCAGATGGGGAAATGAGAGCAAATGCAGGGAGTGTGCTTTAATTATCTGGTGTTCGGTTTTGTGCGTGTGGAGACCGGATATGTCTTGGCCAGCTCTTTGCAGTACAGTGCAACCTCTCAATATCTGCATTAAACGGGTTGAATGTGCATGTATGTAAATTATTTTGTATTCTGCAGGTTGAAGGACAGCGTTGGCTTTCACTTTCAAGATTTCATGGGTAGAGTGAGGAGTGAGGGTGGTGAGTCTGCACCCGGCTCTCTCAGGTCAGGTATGGCTTATATTTGGAGGGGTCGCGAATCCTAGTGCTTTTGCTTGACCATGGGAACCCATGCAGGCATGATATCCTTGTTCATGATGTATGTAGGTGAGAAATTTCTGAGAAGGCCGGTAGGTATCTACATGCTCTACCTACTTCGCAAGCAGGAGTTAGCTTTACAGTATGGAGGCAGAAGTGTGAGGGAGTGAGTGCGTTGAGGAGGAGTGATAGAGGGGAAGCTCGGAGGACGATGAACCATCGATGATGCGGGTGCTTATCGCAATCTGGTCAAAGCCCATCTGTCCGTTTTGCCAAGGCGTAAGACGTAATGCGCACAAAGCGCGATGGGGAGGGGGTTCAGGTTTGGCAGTCGTATCTAGAGTACCATATGTTTGAGACGCAACGATTGAACAGTTCTCGATCGATTCTTGGTTGGCTGGTTGGCTGGTTGGCTATTAAGTAGTGACTTTGCATTGTGGGGCGTCCTAGCTGCAGAGTGACCGTTCTACTGCCTGAACAACCACAGCCTGAAGCCTTATGTGAGATACATACCGGGCAACCGAACCCCTCCGAGCCAATGTTTTGTAAGTTGAAAAACGTAACTCCAATTCCGTCCCGAGAACCTTCCGAGAGTTGCTGTTAATAATTGTGCCGAATATGAAATTGCCCTCGAATGTAAACGTATGTTTTGATTGCGTGTGTAGAATATTGCTCCAACCAAATGTAATGTACCTACATACATACATGAACGAATATGTGGGCCAATGCATGCACAGCCTATGTAGATCTACACGAGCCCTTTTGAAAGTGCACAAGTATGATCGGAGAGGGGTTCTGTCTGCAGCTGGCGGGAGTTTAAATACACTCCCAATGAAATCCAAATCTCAACTATATACTTGGCAGATGAGGTTTTTATCCAATGTTGAAAGGTGGGGGAGAAAAGACTCCTAAAATAAGTGAGTTTGGTAACGATGATATGGAAACAACTAGGTCCGCCCCACGCTCATAACTTCGATGATATTCAAGTCATATTTTTTACTGTTTATGCAGCTCATGCGTTTTTGATGTTCGGGGGCTTCCCGAAAGTTGCTGCATCTTGATCATCCTAGGCCTTTAATCAATTGATGAGTTGGAATCCTAAGTAAAAATCGAGGTTCGAGCTTTTTGATTAAATAATCATCCATGACATCATAAAAAACTATCGTATCATCGAGTGAGTATCGCTCATTTAATTCTATTCAAATTTGTCAGCATCAAGGAGAAGATGTTTACGCATTATTCTGAGAATTCAACGGGATTTCAGACCTGAAACGTAGGGAGGTCGAGGCTCTGCCCCGTTTGACAGCTGCCGAGGATTTATGACCAGGGAATTAAGCGACGACAGGGCAGTCCACCCAGGGCTAACCACAGATAGCTGAAGGCTCATATTGCTATCGATAACGAGTGTAGTGTATCAATTCGCGACCTCGTCTCACCAAGTTTCTGTTCAGCTACCGGTTCGTTCCTCGATATTTTTCCTGCTAGCCGATGAACGAAGGGACGAAGGGACTCACCACCTTATTTAAACCTCCAAATTCGTGAAATCTGTTGAGATTGCGGTGAGTAAGAGATATCTACCTCGGAGTTAAGAGTAGGATGTTTCGGTGTTCTGCAGAGATAGATCACCTCACGAGTGATGTTCTGTGAAGTCCGTTTATCACAACTCCTCTCACCAAAACTGATAGGTTTGGTGGCCCATCAGTCGTCACTCGGAGGGAGCGTGTATGTAGCTCTATTCCGTACACGCCTGCAGTAGTTTGGCCGTTAATTTTCATCCCTGTCCCTTGCTCTTTCAGTAAAGCTAAGCGCACCCTTCTATGCTATGTCGGCAAGTGCAAGTCACGACTCCCGTTATGCAATCATGTGTAGGTAGTATCTTCTTCTTCTTCTTCTTCTTCTTCTTCTTCTTCCTTCCTTCTTGCTCTTAGGCTTCACTACAACTTCTGCAGATATCTACACAAAACAGTATGGGCACGCGATTACCTACCTCTCTTTCCCTTCTATTTCACTGCGCCGTGCGCCATCAATTCACCCCCTTGCGGTTATGTAGTGTAGACTTACGCGTGTTCAAATGAGCACAGAAAGGGAGAGATACACGTGTGGTGCATCAAAGACAGGGGAGGGATCTGGGTCGCTAAGCATTCACCTCCTAACCACCTTCACAGATGTCCTCTCCAGCTTGAGTCAACAACTGTGTCCACACTACACGTCACATCATGCCAAACCACTAAATTCAACCTCCATTCTACCTCAGAACACCTAACTACAATAGTCCATGCAAACTCTAGTAGGAGATCGGATCGCAACTACTTTACATCTATTGCGATAACGGCTAGCACTGTTACAGATACTCTCGCTCACAACACCGACTGCAATAGCTCAAGGCGTAACCCTGACCCTATAACTTACAGCGGAATCTCTTTCCGCACTGCCAGGGTTCCTTGAGCGAGATCTGGGCGATTTCCGATGCCTCGCTTGAGCCTCAGGGCTGTCTGGGGAATTCTTACTGATAATGGCCTAGGTTGACCTTTTTTTTTTTTTTTTTTAGAGGAGAGCTTCATGGGAGGCGCGGCTATATAAAAATTGTATGTATGGTTATGCGCGATAGTGAGTAGTACAACAACTTTAATTTCTTACTCAGCGTCTGATTCTTCCTGTGCTAAGTCAGAAACAGGTTTGATTTCGTTATATACATGGATAATACTCTAAAGCCTTGCGTTTCTGGGTGGGTCCTGCTTACGTTTCCTGGTTTACAATTGGGCAGGGAATGATAATATCCTTCTTTTGTGAGTGAGCCCAGGCAATAATGATCTACTGCATCTACCCCGGTGCATTCTTCAATTAGCCCTATCTGGACATTCCTCCATCCTTCTTACATGGCATATAGCGCTCGAAACTTCGAAGCCTTGCGGACCGCGGGGTGACATTGCAATTGGGAGGTCTGAGTTTTATACGAAAGCCTTACAAAATACCATCGACCTGAGTGCTCAGTACATTTACTGTTTAGGAATAGATCTTTCGATTTCCCTGGTTTATTGGGTGGATATAACACCCTAAAGGCTTCGCGAGCTCCTCTAGATATTACATCACGATCATTGAAATTGATCTTAGGAACCCACATCCGCGGAACTTGATTAGTTTGGCCGGGGATCGGCAGGTTACTCGGGTTTCTAAATTTCCTGTTATTTCTGGTTTAGGGCTTGGATTGGTTAGGGTTTGCAATGAGGGTTTGGCATTTGATACCACTGCCAATCAATAGATGGTGATAGTGATAAGGTGGACGCACGGTCCGCACTACCTACTGATTAATCACTCTGTAACGATCACGGATGACCTCTCATAGGGTAGATACTCCTTACTTCCAAAAGGCAAGGCCAAAAGACCCATGGCCTGCTGATCTGGGACTTCGATCCAGTTGTCTAATAGGCCAAGCCCACATTTTGACATCCCAACCATCGGGTCGAAACTACTAATACACATCGACAGAAATCACATGTCTAAAATACCGTCCCAAACATTGGAATTGGTAAAGTCGATTTTTTTTCCTTTTTCCCTACCGTATTTTCAATTTTTCTAACCCTCTTTCGATTGGAATAGATCCTACCTTGATATTATGATAGCGATACAACCACCGAAGCTTTAGGCCTGACATCTTTCAAGTCCAATTGTTATTTTCTTCTTCTTTCCATAGGACATTTCTTAAAACTTCAATAGACCACTAAGGCCGGTGACATTGAATCTCGTGCAAGCAAGGGCATTGGTCCCGGAGCTCTGAACACTATTTTAGTCTCGATAATGTGCTGAATTCCCGGTCAAAGGATTCAGTTAGATACAATTTGGCCTTCTCCTGGCTGAGAAAATCAACTAATTGGCCCGTCACCCTTGATGCATTTCTCCTCCATGATAGTCACTGAAAAAACAGTAAACAGAACTTTAAAGAGTACTAGTACTGTGAGGGATATTACTCAGAAGCCAGCGTACAGGCTTCGGTGTACGATCTTACCAAATCAATCGCAAGGGCAGAATC